TGTACGTGCTGCACCCCACGCCCGAGCTCTGGACCCTGAACCTGCCGCACCGCACCCAGATCCTCTACTCCACCGACATCGCCCTGCTCACCATGATGCTGGACCTGCGGCCAGGCTCTGTGGTCTGCGAGTCCGGTGAGTCCATCTGCATCGCGCCGCCTCAGAAGTGGCCCGTGGTGGGATCAGACAGGGCCGCTGCGCCCTCCTGAAGGCAGCGTGGGTCCTTGACCTCTGCTTTTAGAACACCTATTTTTATTGAAGAGGAAGGCAGAGGGAGAGGGAGAGAAACATCCATGATGAGAGAGAGTCATGGACCGGCTGCTTCCTGCACGCCCCCCACTGGGGATCGAGCCCAGAACCCGGGCGTGTGGCCTGACGGGGAATCGAACCCTGACCTCCTGGTTCAAAGGTCGACGCTCAACCACTGAGCCACACTGGCCGGGCTCCTTGGTTTTCAGTTTGAGAGGGATTCGGCATTCGGGACGTCAGATCTGTGTTTGTCAGATTGATAAGCATGTTCATTGACTGTGGACTGATGCTCTCACAATGGTTCCATTTGCAGCGACGGCTTTAAGGAGATCATGCCCTACGACCACTTCCAGCCTCTCCCTCGGTGAGGTTTTCAGTTTGAGAGGGATTCGGCATTGGGGACGTCAGATCTGTGTTTGTCAAATTGATAAACGTGTTCGTTGACTTGGGATTGACGCTCTCACCATGGTTCCATTGCAGCGACGGCTTTAAGGAGATCACGCCCTACGACCACTTCCAGCCTCTCCCTCGGTGAGTGATGTCGTTAACTCTTTTTTAAAAATATATATTTTTTTATTGATGTCAGAGAGGAAGGGAGAGGGAGAGAGAAACATCCATGATGAGAGAGAATCGTGGATCGGCTGCCTCCTGTACGCCCCACACAGAGGATCAAGCCCACAACCCGGCCTGTGCCCCGACCGGGAATCGAACCGGGACCTCCTGATTCGTAGGTCGGCGCTCAACTACTGAGCCGCGCCGGCCGGGCCGCTAGCATTTTCAGCATTTCTTCTCTGCATCCTAAATGCTGCTGGAGTCAGTCCCCTTGTGTGCATCCCCGCTGCCCCTCCCCGGCCGTGCCGTGGCTACCCCTCCGCAGGGTCCGTGCTGCCAGCAGGGCTGTCTGTAGCGAGGGGCGGGCTATGATGAGGGATGGACAGCAGGCCCCGCCCTGAGAGCGTGGAGGGGGGCCGGGGGGACACAGGCCTCGGTGAAGAACAAGAGTGACCATTCTAGAACTCCATGTGACAGGCTGCCTCCTGTTGGCCGTCCCTGGGGGCTGGGGGTGTCCGGCAGGCCCCGGGGGAGCTCACGCATGTTGAGGGCTCAGACATCAGAATCCCCTTCCCCACTCAGACGGCTTGCCGGCTGCTTTCTCACCTTGACGTTTTTTTTTCATTTTTAAAATCTTTATTGTTGAAAGTATTTCATGTGTCCCCTTTTTCCCCACATGAAACCCTCCAGCCCGCCCCCCTGCCCCGGTGTTCACCACCTCATTGTCCATCTGACCTCGAGTTTCTATGATTCTCTGGGAATATCATCCTTTACTGTTTTATAGTTGGGGGAAAGTTTGTATGAATTTTTTAAATAATGTGTTTTATTGATCTCAGAGAGGAAGGGAGAGGGAGAGTGAGAAACATCCATGATGAGAGAGAATCATGGATCGGTCGCCTCCTGCACGCCCCCCACTGGGGATGGAGCCCGCAACCCGGGCCTGTGCCCTGACCGGGAATCGAACCCTGACCTCCTGGTTCCTAGGTCGATGCTCAACCACTGAGCCGCACCGGCCGGGCTGGTGCGGAGCCAGTTTAAAGAGGCTTTCATCCTCTGTGTGTGATTAGCTAGACTCTCACATGCCCTGTGAAGGGGAGTGAAGGCAGGTGGATGGTTCCCACAGGACAGTAAACCGGGCTGGTGTGGAGCCAGTTTAAAGAGGCTTTCATCCTCTGTATGTGATTAATTAGACTCTCACGTGTCCTGTGAAGTGGAATGAAGGCAGGTGGATGGTTCCCACAGGACAGTAACCTCAGGGTCAGAGGTCACCTGTGACTGTAGATTGTGTAGCAGCAAAGATGAAAGTCTGGCCCTCTCTGGTGTGGCTCAGTGGGTAGAGCATCAGCCGGTGGACTGAAGGGTCTCGGGTTCGATTCTGGTCAAGGGCACGTACCTCGGTTGCAGGCTCCTCCTCCGCCCAGTCCCTGGTTGGGGCGCTTGCAGGAGGCAACCCATCGATGTGTTTCTCTCACATCAATAGTTCTCTCTGTCTTTCCCTCTCTCTTCCACTCTCTCTAAAATCAAGGGAAAAATATCCTTGCGTGAGGATAAAAATGAATGAATGAGTGAGTGAATGAATGAATGAATGAACGAACGCATGAACAAGTGAATGAATGAGTGAATTAACGAATGAATGACTGAGTGAGTGAATGAATGAGTGAATGAGAGAATGAATGAATGAGTGCATGAATGAGTGAACAAATGAATGAATGATGAGTGAGTGAATGAATGAGTGAATAGTGAATGACTGAGTGAATGAGTGAATGAGAGAATGAATGAGTGAATGAATGAATGAGTGAATGGTGAATGAATGAATGAGTGAGTGAATGAATGAGTGAACAAATGAATGAATGATGAGTGAGTGAATGAATGAGTGAATGGTGAGTGACTGAGTGAATGACTGAGTGAATGAGTGAATGAGAGAATGAATGAGTGAATGAATGAGTGAATGGTGAATGAGAGAATGAATGAGTGAATGAGTGAGTGAATGGTGAGTGAATGAGTGAGTGAAAGAATGAGTGAATGAGGGAGTGAATGAATGAGGGAATGAGTGAATGAATG